CCCGAAGGGCCATCTGGTTTCCCCCCCCCCCCCTCCCCCCTTTCCTGCTCGCTAATCCCCCTCGAATAGGTTACCTCGAATGCCCTGTCCGGGGATGTGTATACGGTGAAGCGGCGGTTCAGCGACTTCGACAAGCTTTGCAACATCATGCACCAGATCTATCCGACGGTGGTGGTTCCCCCCTGCCCGGCCAAGAAGATGGTCGGCCGTTTGGAAGGGGACTTCATCGACAGCCGGCGCATGGCGCTGGAGGACATGCTGCGCCGGATCCTGCAGCACCCGGTCCTGTCGCGGTCCGAAGCGCTCGCGCGCTTCCTCCGCGCCGAGACCATCGCCGATGTGGAGCGTCTGCCTGCGGAGTTGCGCGCGGCCGCCGCCGCTGAGGGGGAGATCGTGTCGATTGGCGCTGGTGGCGCCAATCCGGGGACGCGCAGCCGGCGCGACTCGGTGGCCTCCACGCACTCGGTGGCCTCGCAGTACTCCCTGGCGTATGGGCGCCCGTCGTCCGGGTCCTTCAAGGCCGATGCCAATGTCCGTGCCTCCTGGATCGGGCGTCTCATGGACACTCTGGAGCTGGGCGATCTGGGTGTCATCATCAGGTGCGTGCCCGGCTGCCGGCTGCTGTGCAGCAGTCCAATCCCCAGGTGGAGCAGCTTGTTCCTCGTGCCGCTCTTCATTCTCTCCTTTACGCTGTCCTGATCGGCCCTTCGCTCTTCGTCTCCCTTGCTGCATGCAGACACTAACCCTCACTGCGCCCCTTGGATAGCCCGCCTGTGGACCCGGATCCCTGGTTCTCGAACATGGCAGCTCGCCTGGACATGCTGGAGGTGGACCTGGAGCAGGTCGCGTCGACGGCTGAACGTTCGCGCAGCGCCTGGCTGGCCCTCGGCTTCTCCCTCGATGGGTATTGGGACGCGGTGGACATGCTTGGGCCGCACACGGCCTTCTTCACCGGTCCTGGGCAGACGGCCGACATCTCGTCCTTCGATGCTGGCAGTGAGTTTGGTGGGTCGATCGGCGCATCGGCCTCCAGTGACATGATGGCTTCCGGCGGGGCGGCCCCCTCCTCCCTGGGCAAGTCTCCGGCCGCCGGTGCGGCCTCGTTGCCCCTGCACCAGCACGCCACGCAGACGGGGGAGCTGCCCATTTTCGATACCCTCAAGCGGCAGGTGGCCTTCCAGCGGAGTGTCGATTCGCACGCGCTGCAGTCCTCGATGGACTCGTTGGACATTGTGTCTCTCGGCATTGTGGATGTGCACCTGCGCTACATCAGCAGTGTGCGCCGGGTTTTGGTGTCGCGCCAGTCCGCCCTCAACGTACGTGGGTTTGCCACTCCGGAATGATGGGACCCCCCTCTTTTTTGTCTGGGATCCTCTCTCTCTCTCTCTCTTTCTTTATCTTGCTCTCCCTTGCTCTCCTTCTCTCTCTCTCTCTCTCTCTCTCGGTACTCTGATCAGCGCCACATGTGCATGTGGCCGTATGCACTCGTACACGCAAACTGACTGACAAATGGATTCCCCCCTCCTCCCCCTCTTGATGCTATGCATAGCGCTGGGGCTCTCTCCAGCGCCAGCTCCTCAGCATCTCCGAGCAGCTGGACAAGCAGCTGGCCAACAACCCCGGGTCGCGGTCGGTCCCGCGTCTGCGCAGTGAGCTGACCCTGGTGCAATCGAGCATTCTCGCCACCCGGTATGCCTTCGAGGTGGACTGTGTCCTGGCCCGGCGGGAGATTGAGGACTGGCTGCGGCAGATGTATGTCGATGTCCGGATCCTGACCAACCGCCTGAGCCAGCTGACCACCCAGTCTTGGGCGCAGATGGAGGGCCTCTTTTTGAGCCTCGGCACTCGGAGACCGGCCGGGCCTCCGGCCGTGAGCGAGGCCACCCCGGCCGCGCTCTCTCCCCAGGTGGAGTCCACTCCCAAGGCCACTCACGACCAGAAGGTTGTCCTCTAAGGATGTGTGAAAGACTCGTGGCCGGTGCCGTAGAGGGGGCGGCAGGCGGCGGCCCCCGTGCCCACCGCGCCCTGTGACATGTGTGCCGGAGGATGCTGCACTGTGCAATGTGCGGGGTTCATCCTCTTTTCCACCTCTTTCCCGCCCTCCCTTCCGATGGCCCCCCCTTTTTCCCCCTCGGGGAGGGGGCCAAGGGCAACAGGAACATGCCACATAGCAATACAAAAGCAAAGCCAAATGCTACACATGTGCTCAGCGAGAACACATATACCGGAGCCGGAGGGGGGGGGGGGGGGGGGGGGGGGAAACACACGGGCGGGGGGGTGGTTGGGGAGAAAGAGAGCCGCGTATTTTGGGAGGAGGGGTAAAAAAACGCCGAAGGGGGGGGGGGGGGGGGGGGGGGGGGGGGGGGGGGATGAGCTCTGCGCGAAGAGAGCACCACTGAGGGAGGAAGGGGGCCCTCATGAAAGGCCAGGCAGGGTGTGCATATCGAGGGCCGGGGAACGGCGCCAGCAGTCAAGACCAGCTCGCTACTGGATCCACTTGCGCGCGTCGCGCACGACCCACGATCCGCCGCGGAAAATCTCCAGGACCTTGCTCTGAAGACGCTCCTCCTGTTGGTCATTATGGGTGACAATGACCGCCAGCGACTGGGAGCTGAGTAGCAGCTCCTCGGTGGCCATGGTGGCCTCGGTGTCCAGGGCAGAGGTCGGCTCGTCCAAGAGCAGGAGATCCGGTCGCCGGGAAAAGGACATTGCGAGGGCTGAGAGAGACGAGGGGGGGGGGGGGGGAGGCACAAAATGCTGGTGAGTAAGCGCGCTTGCCATCGCCGAACGGGCAGAAGCATCGAGGATGCCATATCGAGGGCAGGAAGCACGACGGACAACCCGGCCAAGACACGTACAAATGCGTTGGACCTCTCCACCACTCAGCTGATTCCAGGGGGTCTCCCACCGCTCGGGCGAGATAAACAAGCACTCGCCAACCTCGATCGGATCGAGCGAGGGCCCGAGGGATTTCTCGCGCTGGCTTTGAGAGGACAGACCGGCCGTCCACCGGACCATGTCGCTCGGGGTGTCATCTTGCACCGGCGGCCGCTGGGGAACATACATGACTGAGGTTCGCCAGGCGGGCTGGGTCACCTCCTTGGGCGTGCTGGATGGCGGGGGACGGCAGGAGGGAAGGTGTGTCAGGGCCAGGGGCGGGGACTTTCTTCCATGGCAGGCAGGCAGGCAGGCAACAAGAAGAGGAGGAGGCGGAGATCCGGCCGGAAGTGGCATCATACGCACCGGCCATTCAAACGGATGGTCGCGCCGCCATCGTCCTTCTCCAGGGCAGCCAGGCACTTGAGCAGGGTCGTCTTGCCAGTGCCACTGGGACCACGGACGCAGATGACTATAGCCGGCGGGGCGGGGGGGGGGGGGGAGGGGCGGGGAGGGCAGGATGTAGACATGTGTGAGCATGGCCGAGCGGACAGCCAAAGACGCCCGGGAACAATGGAGAGGG